ATATCGCGATTAATAATTTCACGGCAGCGGCCATTCGCGCCGGTCAATTGATCGTTTCGCGACATTTCACGCAACGTCCTGCATTTATCCCCGCGTGACGCGTCACAATATAATTTCGCGTCGGCGGCAAATTCGTTTTCCCGCGCAATCGCTCGCCCGTACGCGCGTAATGACGTTCACATTAAATTCAACATTATCGACGTAATGCGATATAGGTACACGTTAACCCTGGCGAGAGTCGTCGCCGTCGTCGAGCGTGTGAAACCGAAAGCTGGCGTATCGTCGCTGCAACTCGCATACTTTGCAAATTGCCGGCGGAATGCGATGAGCGGCGATGTCGACGTGTCGCGCCGCCTCGTCCCTGGGAATCATCTCGTTACGCAAATGTGTCATCACGATTCCCGCGAGATTCGCCGTGCACGGGCCGCGACAAAAACCGCCGAGCGCGCGCGCGCGCGCTTTCCCATTGTCTTTTGCCCGTAGGAGCCCGTGGAGCGGGCGGGGGCGTCACCGCTCTCGGAAAAGCGCTCTTGGTTTACGTTTCATTATTATAATGCACTCACGTGTGATCAAAGTTACGTACCTCTCTTTATTTAATAACGCGGCGCGGTATTGACAAAGCGCTTCCAGCTTACATAGGACGTTCGGATTTAAACGGAATTACAGATTTTAAAGGAATGGAAATGACAACGTAATGAAAACGTTTAACGACCACAATTATTAATCGTACAAACGTTAAACGATTTCAGCGGAGTTTATAATTGCGCCCGCGCAGAGGAAGTAATTGTACATTCGACGACGTTAATAGCGCGCGTTGCGACATGTCGCTTCGGACACGTGCGCCAGCCGGGAAAATTGGTACAAAGTAATCGCGACGAACCTCGACGGCATCGTCAAGAATGGGGGAATTGGTCCGCGTGCCGGTGCAAACGCCGCGCTATTTCCGGACGGTTCTTGCCGCCGTGATGCATGACCGCGCCGCGTACTGCAATTAGTCCACGACGTGACAAATAGACGAATGCATAATCCGCGCGCGGCGTTCGCCTTTAATCAAACACGACGTGGCCCCTGCGTGCACATGGACATGGAAACAGCCGATATTAAATCATATTGACGTCCCGCTCGGCCCCTACTCGTGTCTTCGAATCGCCGTCACGGGGGCGAGTGTCGAATTAATCTTTACTTTCCGTCTTTCGGCCTTCCGAGGAAATCAGTCCCAATTGGGCGAAGGGGCTAACGAGCGTAATTTTTTTATTTCTATATTTTCTAAAGCGAAATGGCGATAAACAGCCATTTGCGCCATTTTGCGTTTTAGTAACGTGTTAAAACGAAGTTGGGGACTCCAGAATGTAAAGAAATGACATTAAAAACGTTCCTGGGGCATTTTGCGAAATTTTGCGTATAAAGATAACATCAGAATGTCACATCTCTAGCGATAAGAAACGACGATCGTGTAAAACTTGTTCGCAAGATTTCTACGCGGAGAGAATTTTCTTTCAAAATTTCACCTGAAAATCATGAAAATCGTGGAGCTACGCGGTGTTTCGAAGAATTTTATGATGATAAAAATTTACCATACGTTTTACTAGTAAAATGTATACTAAGTAATGTATGGTAAAATTTCAAAAAACTGTTATAAAATTCTTCGAAATGCCGCGCTGTCCCACGATTACATGATTTTCAGGGTTTTTTTTATTTATACAATTTTATTTATACAATTTTATTTATACAATTTTATTTATACAAATTTTAAGAAACAATGTGAGCAAAATAGCTGATCGTTATTGCGTCTGTCAAAACGTTTTGACACCATCGTCGAAAAGTTCTCGAAAAGTGTTCTTGAAGAGGCGAATACAAAATTAGAATTTGGCGTCCTTGGCGCCTATCGTCGATAAGCTATCGGTTCCTTCGTATCTCTAACTACTGACTCGGACCCCCGACCAGCATTCAACCAATCACAGCGAGGCATCGGCCGACTTCAACTGTTAGGATTGGTTGAATCGGACTCGGGAGTCTGCGGTGTGATTGCGGCTTTGCGTTTGCGCAACGCTTTGTACCACTAAAATAATAAGTATACACATTTTTAATTTTAACTTGTTAAATTACAAATACAGTATACGTGTTATCTAACTCAATGATTTAGCAAGTCCTGCTCGCTCGCACACGCTAATTGCGTGCACGCATAAAGACGGAGTGAGCTTACGGTGTAGATAGTGGCCTATAATAGAAAGTAAAATGACAGTGCGCCTTTTCGCATTTAATTTATAACGCCGTGCGCCTTATCGGCAACGTAGGTTAAATACTGATAACGTGGTACTTTTTACATAGACATGCTCGGACCGTCACGGATAGCCATCGATGGATGAGATTTCCATTTGTACCGCTTGCATTTATTTCGCAAATAAATAAGCTGTATAATACGAAGATTGTTCGTTTTTTATAGAATGTAATTATTCAATTGTTTAAAAGATCCAAGTATTTAATTGTTTAAAAGATCTAAGTACGGTACTCTCCTCCATCGATTTGCATAGTCAGAGGTGAACCGCTGAGGGTACTGTGGTGTACAGATTTGCGGCATTACTGGGTATTTTTGGGCATTAGTTTAGGCATTAGACCTTGCTGGGGCATTTAAAAGATCAAATAAGATAATGAAGTGAAGGAATGCCAACTGGGCATTAGCGGGCATCGGTGTACATACATGATTTTGGTCAGCGGTTTACCCTTCGACGAGATCGGAACAGGAGGTAAAATGCAGATTACGGGGAGGTGGGAGATGACGGTGGAAGAATCGGCGAGAACCTGCGGCCGAGTAACGCGGTATAACTAATGACGAGGAGATAAACGGCTCGGCGAACGACGCGTAACGAGTGAAGGTGCCGTGGAGATTTGGTGCGGAAACGGACCGGAAACTCCCGTGGGAAGCCCCTTGTCAGGAAATTGTTAGGACCTGAACCGCCGCGCCGGCGGAAGCGAATCCTCCGTCGCGGTGGCGGAGGTAGCGGCGACGGCGGCGGCGGCAGCGGCGACGGGCGACGTGGAAAATCGAGAAGAAAACCCACGGGATGCGGTAAGAGCGCCGGTGAAACCCGAATTAGGCGGCCGCTCGACTTGAGATAAATAAAGAACGATCGCTACTCAAAGGCCCCCTCTTCGCGGCGTTTCGAGTTAAAAAAAAATCGGCGACGTCAGTTAAAAAAATAATTCTGCCCTTACGCCGAAAAATATTTGCGCTCGTTCACTCCAAGACCGAATGAAGTGCAACAATGACACACACTCTCTCAGCGACTTGAAGAAAATTAATGAGGAAAATTATAGATTCGCGTCGGATTTTTTCCCCCCCAAGTTCTCAAGAAGATACGTTCTTATTGCGTTAATTGTTCAACTGTAGACTCCTTTTTGCAACCCTTTATATGCGTCTTTCGAAGTGATTATTTTACTTGGTCGTTAAGGCGGCGTTTGCGAAATAGTTAGCATTTGCAGTTTCAAATAACCCTGCGCGATTGTTGACATTGTGAAGTATGTAGTACCACGGCGGAGAGCTAAAATGCAACGTGTTGAATAATGGAATGGTTACGAGTAACCCGGGTTAAGTTGCTCATCTATAATAATGTGCAGCATGTAGCTAAGCTCCGCCAAAAGCCGCATTACCTCTCGCTTAATAATACGTCACGGTTGATAGAGATCCTTCTGGTGAATAAATGATGTAAAGACGGTGGGGCGAGGACGGAATATTCAATCACTTCCTGCGAAAAACGGGTCCCTGCCAACTTTTCGAGAAACAAACGCATGAAAAAATAATTGAATATGTAATTAATATAAACACATGGCAAGTTTCGCGTACAAATCGCTCTCCACGTTTATTGCGCGGCACCTTTATGAGCCTGTAAATCGCGCTTTTATTTTCTCAAACCCATCATTTATATATTTTATATATTAAATCTTTTCTGCACAAATAATCTTTACAAAATGTGGATATCATTGGGCTCGTTTTGCAGTCCTCGCACGAAAGTGTTCCAAGATATCCACTTGTATTAATTTGCGTTTGTTAACTCCGCACATAAACAGTGTTGTAAAATCGCTCGGCTCGGCTCGGCCCGGCTCGGCTCGACTGCGCTCGGCTTAACGTCAGTTTCGTAAAAATTAAACGCATTGTGTCTGCGTGACGGCTCGCGATAACGCATCCTTGCGCTTGTGCTGTATTTCGTTGGTTTTATGTACGATCCGCGCATGATACGTACGACACTCTCCGCGAGAAATACGCGACGACGTGAATCTCTTTATCTCTCGACATCATGTCGACACCTCGGTTGGACGTAAGGATTTGGCGATGCGTGTGCGTTCTCGTATCCTTGCTCATCCTGGGCGACGGCACGTTCGTCAATTCCGACAAACTCCTCGTCAACACGAAATGGGGCCTCGTCCGCGGCAAGTGGAGCAGGACCTCGCGTGATCGGCCGGTCGCGAATTTCCTTGGGATACCGTACGCCCTACCGCCGGTGGGCGAATTGAGATTCAGAGTACGTAGTCCTTACACGTGCGCGTGTACCATTCTTTCCTTTATACACACCCTGATAATAATACGTAGGGATAAACTCACATCGATAGATGTGATTCTTGCAAAAAAGTCGAAGGACTGCGGTGATTTTTTTAAAGCCCAGGTAAATGGAAATTGTAAATGAGTTGTGTAACAAATTTTCAGTTCTGCATATCTACACGGAGAGAATTTTCTCTTCAAATTTACCCTGAAAATCATGTAATCTTGGGACAACGTGGCATTTCAAAGAAGTTTATTAGAGTTTTTGAAATTTTATCATAAATTTCACTAGTAACCTGTATGGTAAAACTTCAAACAGTCTCATAAAATTTTTCAAAATGCCATGCTGTGCCACGATCGCACTATTTTCAGGGCAACTTTTAAGGGAAAATTCTGTCTTGTATCTCATTTCCCTTAACTGAAACACATCTGGGTTCGGATTTAATTAGATTGATGTCTTTGCTAGGAGCCGCAACGATGGAATCGCACATGGACGACAATTCGCGACGCCTCGGAAGATGGTGAAATTTGCATTCAACTTTACGAAGGCTCCGCGATTGGCAGTGAGAATTGCCTTTATCTGAATATCTACGTTCCCTTTGTAAGTGACACAACGGTTACAAATATTATTGCAAAATATTAATCGCAACAATTGGAATACATAATAATAATAACATTCTGAATAAAAATATTCTGGTGATAAGGTAAATAAGTATTGCGCGACAAGCATATAGTTTGGTAAAAAAAATTTCAAAGCGAATAGAGAATTACAATGTTACATGAACGCAAGCTCAATTAGACCGCGAGGTCTAACCACTTAATTGAACTGAAACAGATAAGGTTACGTTGTTATTGCGACATTTAGCGGTTTTCACGCGCTAAACGTTTGGCGCAACACATTTATTAAATTATTCCTCCGTTTAGTTATACATAACGATTTTGTCATTCCGTAATTTCGTCAAAGGTCTTCGTAGATTTCAGAGGAACGGCGGAAACCCGAGAAACTGTCGGTTTTAGTCTTCGTGCACGGGGGTAAATTTATGATCGGAAGTAGCGACAGCAAAATGTACGCGCCGGATTATTTGCTGAATCAGGATGTAATTCTCGTCACGATGAATTACCGACTTTCTTCTTTAGGTAAGCAAAAAAAAACGTTACGCGATATGCCGGTTTCCTTCTTATGTTTAATAATGCGTGCTAGATACAATTCCGATCAAAATTATATCACCTGTAGATTTTTTAGCATAACTTTCGTTTAGCATAACTCAAAATGCGAATCGAATCTTCTCATAAAAAAGGCGTGTTATGTCGATACTCGAAAGTCTCAAAGTATTGTTGCCTCTTTTCTGTGACACTGGCCCGCTTGGCTCACTTTGTGCTACGAGCTGTCAGTGGCGAGACGATTAAATTTTGACATTTTGCGAAAAGATAAAAAAGAAGGTTAGAGAATTTGTACTGTAACACGGACATTATATATTGACACGTGCCGTTCCATTTAAAAAAAGCTATTTATACATATTTGATATCCGTACTTTGGAAGAAAATTGTATTCTTATCAAACATAATGCCTCGACCTTGCTACTAAAAACAAAACGTTAAAGTAAGGTATTCATAGTCAGATCTTGTATTCAAGACCGTCTTGAATTTATTTAAAGATGCTGTATGGAACATTTCATTGCCTGTGGAGCATCTAAAGATAATCTTAAGATGGTCTTGAATATAAGATTTGACTATGAATACCGACCTAAGAGAAGTTAAGGTTAAGTATCTGATTGAGTGAAGGAGAATGATACTGACATAAAACAATGAGATAGAAGAAAAAGAGAGATAAAAACATTAGAGATAGAAACTGGGTCTGATGCACCTGGGAAAAAGCTAACGATAAATCGTAATCTTAATTTGAAGTTGCCGATGATTTAAATACAGTTCAACTATCTCAGCTCAAGGTGTGACGTCGACTCATTTACATTTATTATTAAAAGAAAGTAATTTTATAGGACATTACAACCTTGTTCAGGCTCTGAGGCCCTTTATTCTTTGATAGAAACATTAATCACAAAGCATTGAAATGAAATGTACATGGCAACATTATACGTAACTATTTTAATTTTTCTTTACGATCAATTTGAAAAAAAAATTTGAAAAAATCAAAGGGAATACAAATTGTGACAAATACGTATAATGTTACTGAGGATCATTATTTGTCGGGAAAATGCATTAGATAAAAATTCTAAATTATTTAAAATAGTTTAAACTACTTAAAAAAAACAATTTAAAAGAGCATTTAAATGAATTTGTACTGTAACAAGGTACGTGCCATTCCATTACGAAAAAAATGTATGTTTAATATCCGTACTTTGAAAGAATATTGTATTCTTGTCAAACGTACCTACTCGATCTTGCTACTAAAATTTAAGCAAAAATACAACTCAAAATGTTCTCGTTGGGCTTTCAATTTACGGTATCATTTTAAAAATAATAAATGAATTACTATACATACATGGAAAATGTATAGGTATGTGTCCTACCTGTGCCTAAATTCATATGGGAGTGATTCCTAGTATACATAAAGGGTAATGAAGTTTGACAAAATAAGACAAAATACACCACGATTTTCGAATTTTTCATTCGTACACTTTAACTAGTTATGCTCCCAAGAAGAACTGAAAAGTCAAGATAACGTCATTTTGATGTCACATTGACCAAATTTATGTCATATTTTGGCCAATGTTACATGAAATTGTCGTCATCTTGACTTTTCATTTCTCCTTGGACTCAACAAGTCGAAAGGTGATATAATTTTGACCGGTACTGTACATCACAAGTTCAACCGTATTTACGTGAAAATTAAACGATACAGATCTTGTTACAACGACGCGATAATGGTTTCAAATCACTTAGGATTTTTTAGCACATCGAACCAAGCCTCACCAGGTAATTACGGCATTAAAGACGTAAAGATGGCACTCGAGTGGGTGCAAGAGAATATTCATAGCTTCGAAGGGAACCCCAAGTCGGTGACCCTTATGGGTCACAGTGCCGGTTCAGCGCTTACTCATATTCTCGCTCTCTCGCAAAAGACCGAAGGACTCTTTCACCGGTACATTTTGCACAGCGGTTCCGCTATTAACGCATGGAGTGTTCACGCTCCAAGAAGGTATAGACAATTATGTTTGCAACTTGCAAAACTTGCCGGCTGTCAGATGCAAACAGACGATGACATAATCGCGCCGAATAAAACGACCACCGAAAATCCGAAAGGAAAAGATGTAAAAACGAGCACCCAAAACCGCACTTCAACCTTAATAGTGAGAGACGACGAAGAACTAATGAGATGCATGAGATCGGTCGATGCGGAGAGACTAGAGACAATGACGCAATATTTCGTAAGTGCCATCGATACGGAGAGGATTTTCTTTTAAAATTTACCTTGAGAATTGAGAGAACTGTGAGTTTTTTTTCATATTTTACCATACATATTATTAGTAACATTTCCAAAAACTCATCAAGTTCCAAACGCCATGTTGTTCCACAATCACACGATTTTCAGGATAAATTTGAAGAGAAAATTCTCTCCGTGTAGAGTTGGTGTATCCAATGACGGTAGTTTTGCATTACTTTGTGTTAGTCTATTTGGAGGGACCATCCGTGGTGTACGTTCGGTCCCACATTGGAGGTTGACTCGAAGGATGCCATCCTGACGATGCATCCATGGAAAATAGTAAAGGAAGGACTGTTTCGCGACATACCGGCGATATTTCAAGTCGTAGAGGACGAGGGTTTAGCGAAGACAATCGGTAATTTTCCGTTATTACTTTAATATTTAATTAAATAAATTTGTCGCGCAAATTAATTAACGGTGTCGGATGAGGGAAGAAACGTAGTTACGATTTATATTATTACATTAATTAATCTTACATTAAGTAACGTTAAAGGTCATTTTAGAAGAGAAATACATGCTTGACATTAGCGAAGAAATTATATCTAAATATTTAACTACATTTCGACGCGGCGAAAACAAGAACTCGAAACAGGGTCCACGTTCGCATCCTTTTCAGAATTAATTACAAATCCCGAGGTCGAGGACGAACTGATAGAGAATTTCGAAGAATATTTGTGCCCCTTCCTAGAGTACAACGAAGTGATTTCCAATACTAGCCTTTTCGCTTCCGCGATAGAGGATTATTACTTTAACGGAAATGTGTCGTTGGGTATCGCGCATAACCTTACGAAGGTGAGTTCGAGGGTGAATATGGTGGGTAACGTTTGACAGCATGATCATTTCTCCAGACGGCGAGTGATGGCTTAATAATATGGCCGATGTTTCGAGCTGCACAATATCACTCGGAAAGAGGAAATTCCAGCATTTATTTTTCCTACTTCACGTACCACGGCACGTTTACGTTTACCTTCAGTTCGGGCATCTCGGTGCATTACGGTATGTTATCCGTAATGAATAATTTAATTTTTAATTTAATTAATTAAGTAAAAAACTTCTTTAATTTTGTGTAATGTCCGTAACATCAGACAATACCAGTTGAGATTAAAACTCGGTAAATATATCGATGAGGGGAGCCGAAAATTAAACGTCTCTCACACATATTTTTTAATCTTAAACATTCTATTTTCCCCAGGTATTACTCATGGTGACGATTTAAACTACTTCTTTCCCATATTGAATTATCTCTTTCGCGACATGCTACTGCACAATACGGAAAACGATATTACTATTATTAACGTAGTAACAGAAATGTGGACGAGTTTTGCAATAAATGGGTAAATGAAATTAATTGTACATTACCATTATACAATGTTATCACGCGATAACTTATTCGCGAATATTTTCATGAAAGATGGGATATTTAATTTTTTGTCTTTAAATCTAAGCGTTAGCGATGAATTTTCGCCAATAGAGTCTAAAAGATTAGAGGGTTGGGAAGTAACTCGTTACTTGTAACGCAGTTACAGTTACAGTTACTGTTTTTTGGTAACTCTAACTTAACATCGTTACTTTCTCTCCACCTGTAACTGTATAGCTGAGTTAAGTTGTAGAAAAAATGTTTTTTTCGGTAACTAGTATACTAATTTAATTGTCACTTTATATATTTTTTAAACCTTCACAGATTGTGTCAGGCGTTGCATTGCATTAATGCATAGACGCCTTCATCGGCCCCTTACAATTCAAATGCAAATGTGATATTTTTATTTTCATTGCAGGAAAGTAACTGCAAAGTAACGATTCGTTACTGTTTCAGTAACTGTAACTGTAAAGCTAGCGCCGCACTATGCGCGATTCATAGTGCGCGATTAGTGATTCGCAGTTTATCCATCAGTGTAACTTTTCCAAACCTGATTAGATAATTATTTCTATTGTAATTTCTCGAAAGTAAAAGTTGTTCGAGCGTCACGTTCTATTTTCGTTTGCGGTAGCGTCACGTCGCATGATCGCATCACCCATTCAAAGCCGATAGGAATACTAAATCGCTAGGAAGTTCCGTTCTACAGCGACAAGCGGATGTTCTTACCGACTGTAATGTTTATTGTATGTCCAGGACCCCGAACGCGTGGAACACCCCCGCATGGCCAAAGTACCGCGATCATCACGAGTTCATGAGATTTGGGATTGACAGATTGTCGGATGTTGTGGTCCAAACCGATTTCCTGTCTGACAGAATGGAATTTTGGGGGAAGTTGATGCACAACGTATTGGCGGAATCGGTGAACGACAACGTGTTTGTCAGCGAACCACCAAAAGACGTAGATAGCAATAACGCGATCGATTATAGGTCAGCAGTGCAGCTTGCATTATTCGCCATAATTTGCTTTATTACCAGTCAATTATTTATACGTATGAACTAAATTATATTCACGCTCGAGGGTAAACTGAACAGTAAAAAGTACGATAAATGATATAAATTATAGCTGAGCAATTACTTCCGCGCATCTTATCGTGTATATTATTTAAATGATTTTTCCACGCGGGTAGTTTAAACCAAAGTTCAAATTATACGTCAAAACCTGCCTGCGGTAGAAATGCAAAGAGAAAAATATACGAATAGATAGATACAGCGTTTTATCAAAAATATTTATCGCGAAATACATTCTCGCTGTTAGCTGATAAAATATTATAGTATTTAAAAGCGCCAGACGTATACACATACAAACACATACGCGAGAAAATATGCATGCATCATGAAAAAATATAGATAGAATGTATACGATTCGTGTTTTTTTGGGGGGGGAGGGGGGTGATTCAAGACATATTTGAAGTTCGATGCACTTTTCGCGCAAGTTACTTTTACCTGCGCCGGTAAAAAGTAACGATGATAATAAACACGGGGCGAAGCAGTTTCGTTTACTGCCTGACGCTTATCTTTCTCTCTCTTTTTCGCGGCACGAGAATAGTTGTTAATAGTATCGATAAAGTTTCGAAAAATACACAAATAGAAAGTTCTGAATTTAACAGTGTAAATAAATATTCAGAAGTTTGCGTTCACTTGCGAGCGAGTTGCAAAGTTTTCAATGAAATACGCATTGTATTTAAACACGTGTAAAATTCTATTTCGCAATACGTTCGAGGTATCGACCCTCCGCAGTTTTAGCGTATGCATATTTTTATTACGCTCGTGACACGACGCGCAAAATCACGGCTAGAAGACATCACGACCGTCCCCGAGAGCCATTCGCGTTTCCGTCTGCAATTACAGCCGAGATTAACGTTATCAAAGGTCCCCGACGGTCGGTGCCGCGGCCGTCGCATTAAAGGGAGCCTAATAAACGAAAGGCATAATGAAATTCGCTGGAAATTAAGTTCGCCACGCGACGAGTTAACGCGCATATAAAATATGCAGCCTCCAGTTTTCCCGGGAAACCGGGCGCGCGAGTGCGCTCGGGGAAATTAATCATCCGCCCTAGGCAACCGCTGTTTGTCTTCTTTCCGTTTTCCATCCGTTTCCGGATGTATCGCGGGAGGAGCTCGCCGCCGCGAAGGAGTGCGAGCGAGAGAGAGAGAGAAAGAGAGAGAGAGAGGGGGGGGGAGCGAAAGAAAGAGAGAGGGAAGGAGAGGATCAGACGTCCTCTCGAGCAATGATTATGCAACGACGATGAAACGAAGACAAACACGGTGTGCCGTCGCCCTCGGAGTACCGTCGGCGAGAGACCATATCGCCGTACCTCTCTTAAGGATGAAAAGTGCTAACAGCCATGTAAATCCGCGAGATCTGGGACTCTACGTGGATTATTGTACGGCTTTCGTCTTCCGCAAATCTCACCGTGACGCAGCGAGAGATAAGTAAAACTGTCGACGTTCGGATGCATCGCGTTCGCGTAACTTGCGCTCTCCGTCGAACGAGAGGGAGCGCAGTTGACGCCGCGTTGTTGCACGCGTGTTTTCTTTAGATTGATTAGCGTTTTTCGAAACGCTGTTATCCACGCGTCGCGTACGCAAGCTAAAGCTTCGATAGAGCACGAGATTAAAAGAAAAGGGGAAAAAAACAGTTTGACAAGTGCGAATAACGGGCCGGGAATGTTATATATTAAATTTTAGCCGGACACCGTCGTTCCGGCAATATTTCGTTATTACAAGAGCGATGCAACGCGCCCCGACGCGCTTGTCTTTCCCGCCAGCCGCCTTATTCAAATGCCACATATTTTCATCAACGTTCGCGCAAATATTTGCCGGCGCGCCGTCTCTTATATATCCAAGGCAGCGGAAACGCAAACACGCGGTTCTTGGCCGTCGATACAGAGGCAAGGAAACTAATTAAAAATGTGCATCTGCGCCCGTCGAGATCGACCAATTAACGGAATCGTACGTCGTGTCGGTACCGCGATTGGCCGCACGTTCGCGACCGCACCTTTTGCACCTTTTGCTCCTAGAACTGTCAATTCGTAGAAACATTTCTCTAATATACAAATTATGTGGCTTTTGTATACTCTCGATCTGTACACAAAAGCCACATAATTTGTATATTAGACAAATGTTTTCACGAATTGACAGTTCTAGGAGCAAAAGGTGCCAAAAGTGCAGAATCACTCCAGCATCCCCTTAAGAGCACGATAAAACTACATGTAGAACGCCATCGGGGAAACAAATGCACACCAGCGGCTCTACAGACTCCTATGATGTCAATTCGACGATCCTAACTCTTGTCCCGCCAATTGAACAATTGAAGTCGGTCGATTTGTAATTCGACATTCAATTCCGCCCAAAGCACGGAACTAATTAATGACGGAACAAAGGAGAATCGCTGAGCGACCAAATTCCTATCGCTTCAAACTACGCGCGACCGCGTCAATTGAAATGACGCGCAAAGATAATATTGTTGCACCTTGGGGCGGAAGGTGGCGAAACTAAAAGCTATTAAAGTCACGTATGTAGAAACGTAGGTAGAAATGTCAACTTTTACCGCCCGCGAGCGTTAACTTTGTCCAAAGGGGTGGGCGAATTAAAATAGAGCGAGGAGGACTTATTTAGCGTGAGAAACCGAACGCAATTTAACGGGGAGATAAATTTCTTTTTTACAATCCCGTCTCTACGTTCGACGGACAAAGGGTACAGCGGAGTGGCGTGTAACTCGCGTTTGAAATAATTTTCGCCAACGACGGCGCTCCGTATCCGTCAAAATAGGATTCCGTTGCGCGTACTACACCGAAACGGTGTCCTTTATAAGTTGGAGACAGTCGATGCTTAATCCACTTTCCTCATTGCTAATGAATAGAGTTCTGCTAACGGCGCTCGCGACTGCGAAGCCGTGCCGTTTCGTGGCTCCGAAATTAGATTCGCGAGGTACGTCGCACTAACGCGATATTCCAAATCCGCGGATCTATCGCGCACAATGAGAATCCCGCGCGGATATCCAGAGCCGGGACTAGGCGAGGCCAACAGATCTGTAGGGGCGCAAAAATGGCGACTGTTCTAATAAAATTAATAGTAATATATTAAATATAACCAATTGGAATTATTTTTATAATATTTTATATGCCGCGGAAGAAATATTTTTTGTCACTAAAGGGCGCACTTTTTTCCTCGGCCTCGGGCGCCAAAAGTTCCGGCTTTGCAGGTATCGTCAAATTTCTGCAGATAAAAATACGTCTGTACACTTAGCAAGTAGGAATTTAATCATTTTCGTTCCTCTGTCTCTCCCTACCTCTCTCACTCTTTTTACTTTAATTTGTTTTAATTTTAATCTCGACATGAATATAAATGATTGTACGAAAAATACTCGACGTTCCCCTTCGTGGAGACAAATTTTTTTCATCGCTCATATTAAGGCCGTAGAATTTGCCGGGCACTTGATCTGTTTATCCATGTTAAAAGGCACCATTGTTCACAAGCGGAACAGGACGAAAATGCTATTATCTCGAGCTCGAATTATCTCCCGGGACACACTTTTCCGCGCGTTCCAGCGTCGTGCTTAAATTGTAATTTCAGCCTTTGTCGCGGTCTCCGACGACAATACTTGGCAAACGCGCGCAGCCACGAGCGCATTTCCAGTCTGTTTTTGCGCTCCCGGTCACGTGCGTATGAAAAACGCGCTTTGACGTGAAAAATGCACTACCGTTTGAGGCAAAGGGCGTTGCGCGAACGAAGGTAGGAGGATTCCAACAACGTGGGGGGAAAAACGGACACGTGGGAGAACGGGCGGGCAGCAGAATGTATGTTTTTTTTCCAGGGCTCGCTGGAGAAATCGTGAGAAGGGGCCCCAGGCACGTAAACGAAGAATTAAAAATAAACGACCAAGTCGAGAGTCCGTTCGATGCGCGAGGATCTTTCGCGTTAACGGCGGCGTTTAGACGATTCACATCTCTCTCTCTCTCGTCTCGCGAATGAACCGCGCCGGTACACTCGCCTTGAAACGAATGCCGGCAACAAAGGGGATCGCGGAGAAACGCCGTTGATTGACGATTTGCATAGGCAAATAAGCCCCCAAAGAGGCCGGCGGACCGCCGTCGCCGCCGCTACTATTTGCGCGCCGGCCGAGTGATTGTTTTCGGAGCGGTTCCGGGCTGAAAGTGTACACGGTGCGCGAGAGGAAGCGCGTAGACGCCTTCGAATTCATTGGAGTCCGAGCCAACCGGCCCGAGTGTCAATTTCCTGCAAAACCGGACGTTTGCCGGCCCTGGAGAACTTTGGACGCGGCCCACTGCTAATTTTGTACACCCGCGTTTGTACGTATTGTATGTATATTTGTATACCGTGATTAGAAGTCGAAGGAATCCGCGTTAACTCTTGATATCATAACTTTGTGTAACTTTGACATCACGCACTCATATAATAATCCCTATTGATTATTATGCAATACTTAATTGTAAGTAAATCCCCTGATATTCGGCAATTCGAAAATAAATGCTGGAACTGTAAGATCGCGTTTGAAAAAACCGGACTTCGAATACGATAGTCGTTCACAGCCAATCCACGAAGCAACCTTGAAAAATTGACAATCCGGCTTACGCCGTATTGTCGTGCGAAAATGATTTTCCTACGCGACTCGACGCTCGCGCCGCGTACCAGCTTAGGTTTCCGGATCGTGCGAGCAACGATGATAAAAATGTTGCAGATTCCGCTCGAATCCGCTGGAATTCGCCTTTTCACAAGATGCAAATCGCGGAGCATCACGAATTGCGACACCGGCGTGTCGCATGACAGCATCAGCTGGCCGATGTCGCGCTGGCACAATACGTTAATGCGACATATTGTTCGCCGCTACAAAAATTGCCCCTCGTTACGCGCCCGACAATAGGAAGCCCCGCGCGCTCTATCGTTCTTCATGACACCGTCGTGCCTGTGGCGATACGCGAAGCCAATCAATCGAGGAAAAATCGGAAGAAAAAGTAGAGCTCTGACGAGTATATTCATACCACACTGGGCTCCCCTTTGTCGAATAAATTGAAGGAAAAATTAATAGTCGTATGTTCGAGCGTGGATACTGTCGCTCTGAAAACCGTCCCACGTCGTGGCGCACGCTTTACCGCCCATCGCGGTATCGTGGACGAGGATCTCGCCGGTTGATCCCTTCAACTCTTAGGACACCTTCGGGCCTCGGGGAGATATAAGCGTTACGGTATTACCGCGTAATCCGTTGCATCCCCCGACGAGAGGGTTGGCGGTCGGCGGCTGCGGCGCCGAATCGGATGGAAGCAGATGCACTCGTGGGCGGCCGGTATGAGAAAATGAATATTTGAAAATCCAAGGGTAGACGGGCGCCGCTGCGCGCAAGCC